ATTTAGAACTCCACCCTGGCAGCAACTGGCCCAACCTGTGAACTCTGCAACCTTTTAAAAAAATGGGCTACTTTTCTACTCATAACACTCAAGAACTGTCTGGACACAATCCTGTGCCATGTGCTCTGGGATGACCCTGCTTGAGCAGGAGGCTGGACCAGATGTCCCGCTGTGGTCCCTTCCAGCCTGACCCATTCTGTGGTTCCATGAGCTGGGATGTACCCGAGGTACCTGTTTGCTTTTAAATGTCTGTTGTTACATGAATGTTTGATGGGCGAGGTGTTTAACATGAGAATTATATCCTGACCTTTACTTAAACAGAGATTTACTTTCCTTTCAGATAGCAAATACCATAAGCAAATCAGGATAGAAGAAAATGCAACAGGTTTTGGCTATGAAAAGCTTTTCCATGAGTACCTCACTGAGAATGTTTCTGAAGTTTGGGTGGAAGACCCATACATTCGCCAGGTTCATCAGGCAAGTAGATATTTGGTGTAACTGATACAGATGTAGCCACTAGAGAAATTCCAAGCTACTAAATTAACTGAATCTTTTTCAGTTGTATAACTTTCTACGATTCTGCGAGATGCTAGTTAAGGGGCCATGCAAGGTGAAAACAATCCACCTCCTCACTTCCTATGATGAGGTAAGTGTCTAGATTTTGAGTTCTATTCTGTGTACTCAGATGATGCCACATGCAAAACAAGATATAAAAATGCAGACTTGTTCCTAGATAGTTGAACATAAGTAATTTTGTAAGTTCAGAGTTTTCTCGTTAACAAATTCTGAGTAAGCAGAATCTTAAATTTCTCTGAAAGTTTTGTTGTGGAAAATGTCCACAACAAAATAAAACAAACAAAATAAAACAACAAAACAAAATAAAAACAAACAAAATAAAACAAAACAAACACAACAAAATAAAAACCAAAGCATCTGTTGAGACGGGTTGTTTTGCTCTTCCAACAGCTGTATTTGTCATTTTAGAGGCTTTCATGAGCTGAAATCTCTCAAACTGCACCAGTTACCACTGCACTTATTTAAACTATTACTGCACTTATTTTGGCTCAAATAGTACATATCTAGTTTCAAAGAGCTGAGAGTGAGCTCATCCTCCACATCCCTCAGCAAATATACCTGTAGACTGTCTGCTTTTTATCCTGTCTTTGAAACTGTAAATCTGCCTTCATCCAAGTTACTTTCTTTTGGTTTACTTTGATAATGAAAATGTTTTGAGTTTAAAGGTGTATGAGTTTAAGAAGTGGTGACCAGAAATAGAATATATAGTTAAAAAAAAGAAAACAAAACCCCACAACATTATTTTTACTTTTGATAGGGTAGTGGGAGGAGTCAACAGATGAGTGCCTTGGAAGAAATAAAACAGTCATTGAGAAATTATGGAGTAACACTGAATATTAACTTTTCGTCTTCAATACATGATCGAGAAATCAGGTGGGTGATACAAAAAATGACCAAATGGCAGTTATTTGAACTCAAAACTATTTAACCCTAAAAGTTAAATAGTTAACTTTTGAGATAATTACAGCTGTGATTAACAAAATAAAAGGCACTGGCCCTCACTGGATGAAATCAGCCCTCTGTAGTTCTATATTTTTTAATTGTGAATAGTTGTCTCTATACAGAATGGTGTCTTCTGTGGTTCACACAGGTATTGGTGACACTAGGAAATAATTGTGATTGAAACAAGGAGCTTGTGCATCATGTGGATGTAACCTTTTTATTGTGCATTTTTCAAACAGATTCAGCAATGGGTGGATGATTAAGATAGGAAGGGGTCTTGATTATTTTAAGAAACCAAAGGTAAGGATGCTTTCACTTCTTTAATTAAGTTAAAATGAGCTCTCCATGGTGAGTACATGCTCACTGTGTCAATTCTGTTCATTTCTGCAGGGTCTTTTCAGCATTGGATACTGTGACTTTGACTTGAGACCTTGTCGTGAAACAACAGTGGATGTCATTCTTACTAAACACACAAAGAAAATGTGATCAGAAATGACTGCTTTTAATAAGTGTTTTCATAAGCATAAAAATGTAAGACTGAAAGATGTTGCTTGAGTCCAACTGGTTGCCCACAGAAGCAACTCTTTTAAGTACTTAGTGCAGTATAGCTTTTAAAATCTATATATTTTAGAATGTTTGAGACTTTCCAGTCTGAGAAAACAACACTGCATGATTCCTTCATTGTACTTCTTCTGTAATCTTAATTACAATCCATGTCTAAATTTTATCTTGATTTCATAACATACCCTCAATAGTGTCTTTCAAAAGCCTCTATACTGTCATTTCTATTTTTACTGTTGATTTTGTCTTGAGCCTGTTTTGGATTTTATATCTTTAACTGACCACCTCACAATCATTGGAAGCTGGGCTCCCACACGTCCCCTTTTATAAGCAGTCTTATTTATTTCCTTTAATTCCTGTATTCTACTTGTGACTACTATTTTGCAGGGTTTTTGTCAATCCTGTAATACTTTACTTCCCAGACTTTACTAGTAATCCCAATTTTTACATTCCAGTTTCCAAGCTCTTTGCCTATGAATGTTGTAGTGTTCAGTACACAGTCATTTTAGGTTTGTCTTATGTGCCTCTGCATCATGGATTTTGGACTGAGAAGGCTGCAAAAAGCTGTAATCTCTTCCCTGGCACTCCTGTGTGTTCTTTTATTCCATGATACATATACCTGATATCCATCCTTTGCTTTAAGTGTGGAAAGGATGTGTGATCCTCTCTCAGTCTTACTCTCTGACTTTAAAGCCCAATGACTGGCTTTTCATGCCACTCTCAACTGCAGTAAGTATTTCACTAGTACTAAGGGAGTCCCTAAAAAGAAAATTTAAGTTTTTTCAGAAGTTGGGTACCCTGAGTATCTCAGTTGGTCTGAGCATGGTGTGAATAATGCCAAGGTCATGTGTTTTATCCCTGTAAGGCCCAGTCACTTAAGAGCTGGACTTGATCCTTGTGGGTTCCTCAAAATATAAAAAGTCCCACGACTCAAAATATTCTGCAATTCTTAGCAATATACTATATTTAGAATAAAGACAAAGTCTTCCCTTGTCATTCCTTCAGCCTTTGGAAACCAGAAGGTATTACCAGAGTTGCTGGTAATACCTTTTTTTTTCCTTATACAAGAGTTCTTTGTTAGCAAGAATCTGCCTAAATCATACAATCTGACATAAAAAACAGGCAGTGGCCTCTTTTTCAGGTCCCATCAAAATGTTTTCAGCCTCAGGACTGACACGTGCCTTACACTTTCTGCCTTGTAATACAACAGGCCTCTATATACTAGTAGCATGTTTATTGCTAGAACTTTTTTTGTTTCCTATATTTATTTTTCTTGATGGTTGGTGTATTCCATTATAATTTTTCCCCTTAATTACTTTATTATTTCATTTTCTGTCATCTAATGCTGCTATTCTTTTCCTCTTGTTTGTAACAACAAATCTATTCCACAGCAATCAATAGGAAATGGAGCTGGTCTTTGCCTTGTTTTCTGGGTCACAATTAGCCAGTGGTCTGTCTTCTTTATCCTTTCTCATAATAATGTTTCAGCTTTGCAGTGTTGCATCAGGAAAATGAATAATATATGTGCCACAGAGCTGTGTGCTATTAGTCATTCCCCCAAACATTCCATAGGAGCTCCCTGGTTTGCTGCTGTGATAGGAAGTTTCTAGTCACTTGTGAATTTTATTCAGTTGTGTATAATATATGCCTATTTTTAATGCGAATAAAGGTTATTTTTTATTATTTGTAGCTTTAGTCGTCTGTCTGATTTCTTCACAACATCAGGAAATTCGAGGAAGCTGTGAAATGCCTCATAGATGAAGCCACGTTCTGGAGAAGGCTCACTGTAAATGGAGTAATTTCCCAAATGTGAAGCTCTGTGTCTTTTAACCTAGTCCAGCAATTTCAAACATAGAGAATCACAGAATTAACTAGGCTGGAGAAGACCTTTGAGATCATCGAGTCCAACCTATGACCTAGCATCAACTAGACCATGGCATTGAGTGCCACATCCAGTCTTCTTAATCACTTCCAGGGAAGGTGACTCCTCCACCTCCCTGGGCAGCCATTCCAATGCCCAATCACTCTTTCTGTGAACAATTATTTCTTAATGCCCAGCCTAAACTTTCCCTGGTGCTGCTTGAGGCTGTGTCCTCTTGCCCTGTCACTGGTTATCTGGGAGAAGAGCCTGAACCTCACCTGGCCACAGGTACCTGTTCTGACCTAATCAAAATTGCATTCCATTTTTTCTTCAACAACAGTGAAATACATCTTGAGCCTTTTTTTTTGTAATTATACTATATATATAGCTATCATTTAACAATAAAACTGTCACTTTCACTTCATTGTTGCCTTTTATGGGAAAATCTGCTAGGTGGTAACATAAGGAAACTCTTTCTCCTAGATCTGTATTTGCATTTTCGAGTGTTTAGTTTTGATACCAGTACCCATGGCAGCAGGGACTCCCAGCTTTGTGCCAGGCATAAGAACAGAGGAGGCACATGTGGCCTCCCAGTTAGCCTCTTCTGTCCTCATCACAGAAACACCCACGCTGAACTTCCTATCTTCCCCTGCTCTTGCATGTGCATGGACAAAAGCCCTAACCCAGGCTGGACCTACAGTGATTCACTACCCAGTGGTGAGCTGAGCCCACTGCAGTGCTTGTACAGCAGAGGCACAGGGGCACAGCACTCTGCAAGAAAGGACTTTGAATCAGAAACCAGGGGACATCCCTCTCTACACAGCTCAGGGGCTTTGACACAGCCTTTGGGCTTCTGTCCACAAGGAGCAGGATGCAGCCTGGGGCATCCAGTGCAGCAGCACAACACCAGTTTTACACCTAGCCCATTCCATCTGTGTCAGCCATTTGTACCTTCTCTGCTACAGGGCCAGTTTGGGATGTCCCCACTATTTAGCCTGGTTCAAGCAGCAATGATGTCTTGTCAGCAGTGGTTTCAATCCTACAGATTGGGAACATCAGGTGCAGGCAGTGTGAAATTTAATTGTAATTAAATTATTAAATAAAAGTACAAGATTAAACAGTTTGTTTTCTACAAGCTGAATTTTTCTCTTACTAGTGATTGTTTTAATTTTGTTTTCGATACATTAAAAAAGCAGCAGAAGTTTAACTTACATTTTCAAAATGCAAGTCACATTAACCTTATCATATTCTCACACAGTAGCCTCCATCTGCTGTGTAACTCATCGTCTTGTGGACACAGTCTTAGCAATGTTGTCACTAGTGTAGTGGTTTCATTTGGGCAAAACTTACTGCCAGTAAGACTCTTGACCAGTTCACTGTACAGTCCTGGTGGCAGCCACTGCTCTGGCAGATCAATGTTACAGACTTCAATTCTTCCATGCTTTACATCCATATTTACTTTAACGTCAAGAACAGAATCTTTATAGACCATGTTAAGACATGTGCTAATACTGAACTTTGGTGTCTTTCCATACACCCATTCCCAGGTTTGTAGTTCTTTAGTTTTGTTGCTAATTCCAGGAAGCAGAGTCTCATCAGCTGGATTTATTAAAGTGATATGGTGATCTATCTGGTGTTGCATAGCATATTCTTTAGCAATGGCATCCAGGAGCATCTCAGAAGTTAAACTAGGATCCTCTTCAAAGAGATTTTTCACCAAGGCAGGCACGCTAGGAGTGGCATTGCTCTTTAGCCCTTTAAAAGGACTTTTTAGCACAGACGATAAAACAAACTTATCTGCATTACAGAGTAAGGTACAGTGGTGATAAGCACTTGTCCTTCCCAGCTTTGCAGCAGTGCCTGAGATTTTGTATTTCCTGTCTAGCAAGATGTCATACCTGTCAGTGACATGTACATCTAACTGGGGTCGCAAGGCTTTCAGTGCCTTCACAACGAGCTTCAGGTTTTCCATTCGTTCATATTTTTTTCTGGTTGTGAAGAAAGTCAAATTGATATTGCCTAGGTCGTGGTAAACTGTTCCTCCTCCACTTCTTCTCCTGGCTAGTTTTATATTTTTTTGCCTCAATAGCTTGAGGTTGCATTCCTGCCAGGGATTCTGATGTCTCCCTATTACCACGGCAGGGGAATTTCTCCAAAGGAAAAGGACCTGTTGCTTCTCTAAATCCATGTGGTCATGGATCCAATCTTCCACAGCTAGATTTTGGTAAACATCATTAGAAACAGACTGGATAATGAGGCCTCCGCTAGCTGTGCTCCAGAAGCAAGCTTTTGGAGTCCTGAGGACACAGGGCAGCCAAAGGCAGTTCTTTAATGACTGGAGCACCATGTTTTTAACAATTGCACAGCGCATGGAAGGAATGCCTGCTCTGCTAATGCTGAATGCGGCAGGAGTGCAGGCGGCTCCTGTGACAGAGCGGAAAGGCCAGTGGCGGGCATGAGACACTCATGCTCTTCCCACAGCAGTACGCCAGCTCCCAGGCACGGTGCTCCTCCGGTGATGCCGCTCAGACCCGGCCGGAGCCTCACAGGACATCGGGGGTGTCACAGCAGCTGCTCCTCACACTCCCTGGTGCCTGAAAAACCAAAGGAAGAAACGGAATGTGTATTATCCCCTCACTCAACGCAGCCTTGCTAATTCGATTTCACTTTGCGTAGTCCAGCTTTGTTAAGGTTTTCTGCCTTCTTTTCCATAGGGTTCCCGGCGCGGCGTCCCCTCAGCCCCCGACGCCGCGCCGCCGCCCGCACAGCCCCGCCGGGCGCCCTGCGCTACTCACGGCGGGTTGCGGAGCGGTTCCAGCGCCCGTCCGCGCTCCCGGGGACTCCTTGGAACCGGCAGCATCGGGAGCGCTTTCCGCTTCCCGGGTGAGAGGTGCTGGGGGCGGGCGCTGCGCCTGCCGTGCGGCGGGGCGGGCTGAGGGCGGCGGCGGCCGGGGAGGGCTGAAGGCCGGGGGCTGCGAGCACGGCCCGGTGCTCGGTGAGCGGCGGGGTTCCGCCTGTCCCAGCGCAGCCACGGCACTGGGCGGGGGATGGAGCTGGGGAGAGCGGGAATGACCAGAACACAGAATCGGTCGGGTTGGAAGGGACCACAGCGGGACTTCTGGTCCAACCTCCTGCTCAAGCAGGGTTATCCCAAAGCACATGGCACAGGACCGTGTACGGGCGGTTCTTGAATATCCCCGGCAGGGGAAGCTTCACACCCTCTCTGGGCAACCTGTTCCAGTGCTCAGTCACCTGCATAGTAAAGGTCTTTCTCATGTTCAGGTAGAACTTCCTGTCCATCAGTTTCTGGCTGTTGTTTCTCATCCTATTGTTTGGCACCTCCAAGAAGAGCCTGACTTCATCCTCTTCACACCTTCACTTCAGATAGTTTTGGGCATTTCCCACAATATTTACAGGGCAACAAGAGGTGCACAATGCATAAAATGGATGATTTTTCTTAAAAGACCCAGATGTGCAGTTCGTCTCTGCAGGACATCCTGGATGCTAGAAGCTTTTATGAGTTCACAAGGGCACAGAGTTAATGCAATTGCAGATACTTGTGATACATACTCTCTATGGTGCTCATGAAGAGATAGAAGCTAAATGTCAATAGCATAATTCATTAACAAGCTGGAAAGTGATCAAAGACTAGACATATTGCCGGCAGCAGATTGTCTTCAGATTTGCATTTAAGCCATTCTTAAAGTCTGCCAGACCTTAGCTATAATTCTTCATCAAGAGCTATTGTCTGTGCTTAAGCTTACACTGTGGGAGAATGTTCAGTGCTAGGTGAAGTTTTTTATGCGCAGTAGTATCCCTATGGGCAGATATGTGCTGTATTTCTCTTGTTCATAGATGTGTACTTCTAAAAGGTACATTACATAATTTGTCTTCCATTCTGCCTTAAAAGAACTGTGTGGGTGTAATAGGGCAAGTAAGAAACCATCACAACATGTGTGCTGGTGGTGATTAGTGAGAGAAACAGACTCTAAAAAGCAGTGTGTGCCAGCACCTTTAATGTTGCATGGCACATTAAAAAATAAAAAGGAAATTTATTAAAGCAATTTTAAATGGACAGAACTTTTTGATAAAATAGACTGGTAATCATTTTTCAGTGGAGCGAACTATTACGTAATGCACAGGTAAAAAAAGGCAAAAAAAATGCGGTGATTGTCCATAAAAATGTGCTGGAAATCAATGTTGAAGACGGTTGACAAAATGCAAATATGAACCGGTGCATTCTAGCACTGGTCTGAAGTATGGAAACGCATTTGTGAGACAAGTGATGTTACTAAAACGCCAAAAAAAAAGTGGGACCAATAGTCTCCATTTTGGCATTTGATTCTTGAAGACTTGTAGTGTGTCATTTTGCCACACGGTGTCCCTAAAATTCCATTCGGGAAGTGAAAGGGAATCTTGCGAACCCAAAAAGAAAGGCTTAGAAAAATTCGGGAAAAGAGATAGGATCAAAGGAAATGCAATTGCAAAAAAGGCGAAAAAATGAAGAAAATGGGGAGTTTTAGTGCCTTCAAGAAATGGTCTGTGAGGAAATGAGCTGCATTGCAAAGGACCAAAAGATGCCAAAACTAAGCTGAGAGATGTTGCAAAAGCAGGCGACAAAATAAGGGACGAAGACACAACTTGGGGCGGAAGATAGAATACACATGGCATGGATGTTGTACACACAAAAAAAAAAAAAAAAAAAGAAATCCTTACCATATGCCATTAAGTGGAGGCACATGCAGCAAAGCTTGGAAAATTGGATCCCCGCTGAAGGCCAAAAGAGATAAGAAGGACTTACAAACAGGCTGGAATGGAGATAGCATCAAAGGAATTGCAATTGGAGGAGAAAAAAAAAGAAAATTGGGAAATTTGGGCAATTTAGTGACTATAAGGAAATGGACTGGGATTATATCAGAGCAGTGCAAAAAAGCAAAACATGCAAAACTAAGCTGAGAGATGTTGCAAAAGCAGTGGGAAAATGTGAAGGAGGAAGACAAAACACGGAGGGGAAGATATAAGGGACATGCTATAGACATGAAAAAAACCTAAAATAAAAAAGGGGAAAAATTTTTCCCATATGCCATTAAGTGCAGGCACATGCAGCAAAGCTTGGAAAATTGGATCCCCGCTGAAGGCCAAAAGAGATAAGAAGGACTTACAAACAGGCTGGAATGGAGATAGCATCAAAGGAATTGCAATTGGAGGAGAAAAAAAAGAAAATTGGGAAATTTGGGCAATTTAGTGACTCTAAGGAAATGGACCGGGATGATACCAGAGCAGCGCAAAATACCAAAACATGCCAAAACTAAGCTGACAGACATTGCAAAAGCAGGGCAAAACATCAAGAAGGAAGACACAACTTGGAGGGGAAGATATAAAAGGCATGGCATGGATGCTTAAAAAAAAGAACAAAAAACCCCAAAAAATCTTTCCCACGGTCAAAGCCATCAAAAGGCATGGCATGTCATCAAGTGCAGGGACATGCACCAAAGATTCCTCTCTTGGTCCCCATTGAAATCGCAAGATTCCCTTTCCCTTCCCGAAAGGAAATTTCATTTCCTTTCGGGAAGGGAAAGGGAATCTTGCGAACCCAAAAGGAAAGGCTTACAAACACTCTGGAAAGGAGATAGGATCAAATGAAATGCAATTGCAAAAAAGCCGAAAAAATGAAGAAAATCGGGAGTTTTAGTGCCTTCAAGAAATGGTCTGTGAGGAAATGAGCTGCATTGCAAAGGACCAAAAGATGCCAAAACTAAGCTGAGAGATGTTGCAAAAGCAGGGGAAACAGTCAAGGAGGAAGACACAACTTGCAGGAGAAGATAGGAGGGACATGCTATAAATGCTTAAAAAAACTGAAACAAAAAAAGGAAAAAATTTTTCCCATATGCCATTAAGGGCAGGCACATGCAGCAAAGCTTGGAAAATTGGATCCCCGCTGAAGGCCAAAAGAGATAAGAAGGACTTACAAACAGGCTGGAATGGAGATAGCATCAAAGGAATTGCAATTGGAGGAGAAAAAAAAAGAAAATTGGGAAATTTGGGCAATTTAGTGACTATAAGGAAATGGACTGGGATGATATCAGAGCAGTGCAAAGGACCAAAACATGCCAAAACTAAGCTGAGAGATGTTGCAAAAGCAGTGGGAAAATGTGAAGGAGGAAGACAAAACACGGAGGGGAAGATATAAGGGACATGCTATAGACATGAAAAAAACCTAAAATAAAAAAGGGAAAAAATTTTTCCCATATGCCATTAAGTGCAGGCACATGCAGCAAAGCTTGGAAAATTGGATCCCCGCTGAAGGCCAAAAGAGATAAGAAGGACTTACAAACAGGCTGGAATGGAGACACCATCAAAGGAAATGCAATTGGAGGAGAAAAAAAAAGAAAATTGGGAAATTTGGGCAATTTAGTGACTCTAAGGAAATGGACCGGGATGATACAGGAGCAGCGCAAAATACCAAAACATGCCAAAACTAAGCTGACAGACATTGCAAAAGCAGGGCAAAACATCAAGAAGGAAGACACAACTTGGAGGGGAAGATATAAAAGGCATGGCATGGATGCTTAAAAAAAAGAACAAAAAACCCCAAAAAATCTTTCCCACGGTCAAAGCCATCAAAAGGCATGGCATGTCATCAAGTGCAGGGACATGCACCAAAGATTCCTCTCTTGGTCCCCATTGAAATCGCAAGATTCCCTTTCCCTTCCCGAAAGGAAATTTCATTTCCTTTCGGGAAGGGAAAGGGAATCTTGCGAACCCAAAAAGAAAGGCTTACAAACACTCTGGAAAGGAGATAGGATCAAATGAAATGCAATTGCAAAAAAGCCGAAAAAATGAAGAAAATCGGGAGTTTTAGTGCCTTCAAGAAATGGTCTGTGAGGAAATGAGCTGCATTGCAAAGGACCAAAAGATGCCAAAACTAAGCTGAGAGATGTTGCAAAAGCAGGGGAAACAGTCAAGGAGGAAGACACAACTTGCAGGAGAAGATAGGAGGGACATGCTATAAATGCTTAAAAAAACTGAAACAAAAAAAGGAAAAAATTTTTCCCATATGCCATTAAGTGCAGGCACATGCAGCAAAGCTTGGAAAATTGGATCCCCGCTGAAGGCCAAAAGAGATAAGAAGGACTTACAAACAGGCTGGAATGGAGATAGCATCAAAGGAATTGCAATTGGAGGAGAAAAAAAAAGAAAATTGGGAAATTTGGGCAATTTAGTGACTATAAGGAAATGGACTGGGATGATATCAGAGCAGTGCAAAGGACCAAAACATGCCAAAACTAAGCTGAGAGATGTTGCAAAAGCAGTGGGAAAATGTGAAGGAGGAAGACTAAACACAGAGGGGAAGATATAAGGGACATGCTATAGACATGAAAAAAACCTAAAATAAAAAAGGGAAAAATTTTTTCCCATATGCCATTAAGTG